TTTATAATTATTAGCAATTGAAAATTTGTAACATATAAACTTATTTTTATAAATGCACTTAACTATATTAGTTATAATAAAGTTCTCATGGTAACCATTTCCTAGTAACACTCTTATGAATTCTGTTAGTTTATCAGTAAATGTGTCAAAAACGGAACAAGTGTTAGCTATTCTAAGTGTTTCAGTGTATATGACGGAGCCTTTATTGTTTATGGAGATATTTGTGTCATTGTGTGTGGAATCTGATGACCTTGAACTGAAAATCATCTGTTTTGTTATACAATCTAGTTACAACTCTGTCATTTATTATACTAATTGTTAGATCCAGATAATTACTAGATGTTTCACTTAAATGTGTTTTTTTCAATTCAAGTGTATTCATGTACACTTCTGCTAGATGTTGTCAATATTATCCTCGGTTTGGTTATGTATTACTAGCAAATCATCCATATATCTGAATGGAATGAATAACTTATTTTTATTAAACTTACATCTTATTGCATAATTGTATTCCATAACGGAGAGGGTAAGATCAGCTAACAGTGGACTGAAATTACCTCCTTGTGGTACTCCTTTGTTTTGTTTAAATATATATTTGCCAAATGTGCAATAACTGTTTTTTAACAAATAATCTGTGAAATATATTAAATCAGCAGGTTTGTAATATCTATAGCTTTTAGTTGTTGATTCACCATCTGTATAGAAGACGTGATAGCCATTAGTGGCTATTAGCGACTTATTAGCATTCTTAAAGCAAATGCTTAAGATATGCTGTATGTTCCTAATGATGATGTTATGTTCTAAATTAGTGAACATGTCTGCGAAATCTGCTGTGTAGATTTTAAGATTTTCATATGTGATATTGTTAAGATCTTGACTTATATTAATGTTATTTATAGACCAATATGTTTTAATTGTTCTGTTTCTGTTTTGTATTACATTGACATAATTAACGAAGTGATTTTTTATGTGCGTGAAAATAATATGTAATTCTTGTGCTAGAGGTTTTATGCTGCTTTTATGGGTCAAGTCATTGTATAGGCCACATCGCATTCAAATGCCACTGCGAATGTACAAATGGAAGTAGAATGCGTGCCGCATCCCAAAAAGGGATTGATCAACGGCAAATGCTTTATCCTTTATCCTTTAGATTAGTCCCCCGTCAACCGCCGGGACCTTCCTTTCCTGCGCAAGCTTTCTATCCTCCGCTATGGTCCCTTCCTCCTGTGACACCAACACCTCCTGGAAGTGACGCGTATGCAACACAATGGTGTTTCATACAGTAGAAGGGACACAATCATGATATGACGGTAGATTTTTCGCTTCCCTTCCTCATCCTCCCTTCCTCTCTCCACTGCCCTCCAGCTGCCACTGCAGCACCATGTGGAATGAACGCAAGCGTAATAAACTAGTTATCCCTCACTGAACAAAAATGTGGCCTTAAAGCAAAGAGCGTTGTCGTTTATGAGAAGAAAGTAAAAATTTTGCAGCCTGATACAATGAATATCCTGAAACACAGCTATAATCCTAGACGAGCGTTATCTCTATATGCGTCCAGTCAATATGAAATATACATCAAGAATCAACATACCTAAAATTGCACAAGCTCCCTGAAATTAAACGAGCAAGTCGCGTAAATAGCCAACAAACACTCCGAGAGAGCCTTTGTGCTATATATAGAATTGGTAGCCCAAAACTTATAGGACGATGAAATTGACACCCTAATCGCCAAAAATGAATCACATTCAGTCCACTTATTCTCTTGCATATTCCAACTCACTTTTGCCTGTGAAAAAGACGCGAGGCTCACCATCAATAACATGTTCATAGTTATTACGAAGGAAGACCGGCAGAAATGCAGTACTGCAATACAAATTGAAAACACCTGTCTGACGGTGGCTCCACAACAGTTGAAAGCAATTGTTTCCTCTTACCTCGATATGAACATACCCGTGGAAAGCATCGAAAAAATTACGAAAAATCGACCAATGCTGATACTCAAGACCTACACACACACACATAGCATGGCACAAGAATAAACAAGAGACAATAGATTAATCCCTACAAACTTAAACGTGCAATTTTTCGGGATGCAAGTAAGGTTCTAATGAAGAGATTTCTCAGATGTCTGGCTATTCAATTAGTTCGTCACTCCGTAAGTCTCAATTTCTCCTATGGTTATGGACTAGCACTGCCTCTACTCTATTCTCTCACAATGCCTACATGTCAGAGTGATAACGTATGCAACCTGAGTCCTGGTTCTAGACGTTCTATCTATAGTTGTAGGTAAGGACTCCATGAGATCTTGCAGCTGCGACTGTTCAGCCAACAAGGACAAGTTCTGGCTGGAATAACAACGTGCACAGATATACATTGGTCGGGTTAAGTATCTCTGTGCTATAATAGATTATATGTACCCAAAGAACCGTTACATTATTTAACTATCCTTTTTTGCAGCCCGGCGGAGTAATGGTTATCATCATCGATTCAGGTCCTCGAATCCTCCTTTACACAAGTTCATTCAGAGTTGTGGAAAACAGCCGTGGTGCCAAACAGGTGTCACATGGTGTAATCTGGTGCCAAAATGGGGATAGCGTCAGAAATTGATGTCGTATTCGTAATCTTCTTCCACTCCTAGCAATAGCCCCCCCCCCCTCGTAGGGACGGCTGACGTCATATTTGTAATTAGGACACCAAATAACCAACAGATAAAGAATGTGCCTTAAGATTGGGACAGCAAAATAAGAATAGGACCGTTTTAGGAATGATGAATAAGAAGCTATCATAAACATACTGTTTACATATCGCTTTGTAGAACGCGAACTCCGCCATAAGAGTAAATATACCAATGCAACATCGCAATGTAACAAATAATGCTATCTTTGAGTAAGGCAATAAGTGATAGAGAATATTTGCAGGAATGTAGTGAAGATATATGTAGAAATATGACCTTAATACATTCTTATTAGCTCTAGCAAAACTGAAAAGAAGAAAGGTGTCACCTTATGGCATATATTGGAGAATATTCCCATGTTTGGAGCCCCTTGCCAAACAAGAGCAAATGGAAGCGGCTCCCAGTAGTTGTAAACCTGAAGGACAAATCTTGTGGAAATTCATGATTGAGAATAGAATGCAGGCAAAAAACCGACCTCATCACAGTCGCTTATATTGCTCCATAAAGCTGCAGAAAGCCTCAACGAGAACAGCAACTGAAAACAACGTATGCGTCAGTGCGCATGCTTGAAACACCATTAAAGTGCCTATTAAAGAATGGAAACAAGAAAGTCTGGCCAGTAAACATAGCAAACAAATTCCAAAGCATCCACCTTGAGCACAGCGTTACCACTTGGCTCCCAATCGAAATCCAAGTCGTCACGTAAGACGAAAAGTTTGCCGCGGATGTCGTTCAACGATATTTGAGGAAATATCGAGACGTCTTCGGGGCTGAAGCGACTTATTATTACACGAGAAAACACTTTTAAAATCATGGAAAGAGACAGTACATCATGCGAGGGCCACAAAGGAGAACTTGCTAAAGCCAACCCCTCTTCTCTCAGCTACACTCTGATTTCCTTCTCATTGCTGTCAATGTATCTCTTGTTAATCTACAGTCCCCATTTTGAAGATCACTTTCAGTCTCACTTCAAGCTTCCCGTTTATTTTCCTACGCCAAAAGCGAATTACTCTGATAAGTCAGATCTGTGCGACTCCCCTACTTACACGGAACTTTTACTGAGTTCGTATTTCTGATTTATTCTGATAGCTGATGTGAATTTGCTTCGAATTACACTTTAAAGGATAAAGGATAAAGCATTTGCCGTTGATCAATCCCTTTTGGGATGCGGCACGCATTCTACTTCCATTTGTACATTCGTAGTGGCGTTTGAATGCGATGTGGCCTATACAATGACTTGCGGGGGCCAGCCGATGTTCAAGTCAGTGTTTTTATCCTCCCAGACAAGTCTGGTACCAATTAACCGACCCCGGAGGGATGGAAGGCTTGGTTGGCCCGGGCGACTCACGACCCAGGATTTGATCCCCGGACCGCTCGCGTGGTAAGCGTGCCACTTGCCACTACACTTCTTCGCCCTTGTCAACTCGCTTTTGAAATTATTAATCATTCTCCTCTCAACGTTATTTTCTGGATGACCTCAACTATTTTCTGGATGACTACCACACATTTTGGTTAAGCCAATCAATCCAGCAGCTGTGCATCTATCCAAGCTCTCTGGGCATAATATAAAACGGATCTAATGCAAGATTTTGACGCAGAACAACAAAAAATGTCGCACCACTTTGTGGATCAGCATATCAAACAGATTCTATTCAAAACATGTGCTTGACTTACGATGGTGGTAAAGGTGAGGGCGTTGAAGGCGGTGAAGACTGTGTAATCCCAGCATTAGAAGAGTGCTCGGAAGGAAGGTGGTTTCTCGCCTCGATTTGATGTTCGACGAATCATGGACATGTTCTTGCGTGGCATGCCTTCACCTGATTTCAAGTAAATGTCCACATAGAATCAGTAAGAGGAGCTAATATTCGACAATAAACACCTTACACGTTAAATACGGAGCGAATAACGCCAATAAATGCAATAAATTTATAACAAAAAATTTTCATGTAAATTTATAACAAGACGGAAAACAATGTTTTATGAATATTTTGAGCAACTATGCTTCTCAACTATAAAAACCTATAACAAATAAAAACAACTCTGAGAATGGTCCGAAAATTAATCATCAGGCTTCGGATTGGTAGGCTTGGACTGTTGCCGTCTAAAGCGTCCACGACGCTCTTGCCGAGTCCCTGACTGGTTTTCTTTCGCGGTTTCATCTTCCGAATTCACCAGCTAGAACAGCGGAAAAATTCAACGTTTTCAACACGTATCTGAATTACTATGAAGAAAACAATTTACCTGCACTCCATAGTCTTGGCTCAATTCACCCAGGGGGCCTCCACTACCTCGAATGTTGCTAGCATCCACAGTAGTCTAATAAAATAATTTCACTAGACGTTGAAGCCGAGGAAAGAATTATTACCTTCGGCAAAACTTTATGTTTCACCACTTCTTCATCATTTTGCGATGTAGATGGTATAACAGTGCCATCCTTGAGGAATGCATTCAGGTCTTTCAGCTGTTCGCGGTATCTGCTATTCTGGAATGATTCATTTTGAAAAATGCCAAATCAAATACTGGTAAAATTAGGATGGCATATGAACACAAGATAGAGAGGTTTTCAAGATATCAAACAATATTATTCGCTATCAATCACTTCATTATATAAACCAGAACTTTGGTGTGTCGGTTTGTCGGTGTGTGTGTCGTTCTGTCCGTCCGGACCAACCGCTCACAAAACCAGGGAGTACGAAGGGCAACACTTCGTGATGTTGATTCATGATGATAACACCCACAGCGGCTATATAAACACCGATCGAGCACACTCAGCCTCATTCTACATGGTGCTGCCGTGGCAGCCGGAGGAGAGCGTAGAAGGGG